CAGCCTTTTTTACCCGGAAACTTTCTTTCTTCCCGTCTGTTTCGTCTTCTTCTTTTTATTTTTTTTTCTTTTTCCCCTTGAGCCCCGAGGGGCGGCGTTCACCTGTGAAGTCAAGGTTACACCCCCCCCTTTCCCTCCCCCCTCCTCTTGCCGTTACCTTTACTTCATCTTCACCTTGGGGCTTTGGTCCATGAGCGCGTTCAGGTTGCGCTGTTCTTCGCAGAGCAGTCCAAACTTACTGGACGGGGGACCGGGGTTTGCAAGCGCTGCTCCACGTTTGGAGCGGTGACTGTGCCATATCCTTGGAGCTGGCATTTTCTGTAGCAGCTGATTCATCGGTGAGCTGTTTGGAGCCACTGGATTTGTGGTTTTTTTTCTTTTTTTTTTTCCCTTTTGTTGATGTTTTTTTTCCATTAACAGTATTGGCAAGTAAATACCCATTGTGTGCAACTCTGGAATATGACTGACAGTTGAAAAGAGCTATATACTTACTTTTCTAGATATTTAGTCTGTGAAAGGTCGGAGCTGGATAAAACTGTGATGGTGAGTAAGTTGCTGGGGAATGGTAGTTTAGCTTTTTCTGTGAAAGTCAAAAGTGGACAAGCCAGGAAGATTCACTGAGTGTTGAAGGTGAGCAGGTGGCCCAGAATGTACAGAAGACTGAGGCTTAGGGGAACAGTATATAATGCAATGCCATGGCTACTCTCCTGCTTTATGCACGTAAATGGAATAAGTAACTTGAGAGTAAGTAACTCTGTTTCACTTCCCTTCACATCCCTGCCAGTCCTTGCACCTTCCAGAAGCATTGGCCAGTTGTCCTGCCTTTGGGCTCCCAGGATTCCTTTTTCAGATATTGGGAAAGAAATGAGAATCCTCCTACTGTTGGAATTCATGAGGAAGTAGATGTGTGTGACTCTTGGTGAAGAAAGGCCAAGCAAGAGGCTCATTATGAGGGGAATAAGTTGTATTGGGGGTGGATGGAAGATCTGTTGCCGTGTGTCGCTACTTTCCCTGTGCTCGCGTGCTTTAGCTGTTTTACGTGTGATCCTCTGGTGCTCTTTGGCAATAAAGTAGTCACATCGCTGGGAGAAGCATAAGATGAACGCTAACCTAGCCAGTGGTCCCAGTCTCAAATGCTATCTTGACTCCTTAACCTTCGAAGTAACTAACAGACCAGCCCTTTGCTAGGAGTCCAGTCATCTGCATGTGGACTGATATACTTGAAATATGTGAGTTGCTGCAGAGTGATAGGTACTGAATTTTCTGTTGTCTGTAATTTACTGGTCTGTAAACAGTGATTTGAACTTGTTGATCCTACCCTTTATTCAATCACAGGTTGGATAAAATTGTTAATAGCCTGAGAATATTTAGTTGAAATGCAGCATTTGTACAGAAGTCTATATCAGGTCTGAAAAGATTCCAGGACTAAAAATCTTCTAATATTCACTTAAAATATGGTGTTCAAATTCGATTTGAAGTGATAATATTTCAATTTAATTTTAAAAGATTGCGTGAGATTAAACTATTTGTGAGCTAGTGAAGGAATTCACAAAATGCAGAGTGAGAATTAGAAGACTATGGTTTCTCCTGGGGAAGAGGGGAGTCTTCACTGAATCTTCAGTCAAACATCGTACAAACCAGTAGTCTATATGTGCTCCAAAGGACTGTATCATCAACTTTTGCACACGCTCAGATCTAGTGGAAGTTGAGGTCCTGTTGATTTAGAAAATAAAATAACGTAGGAATCCACAGTTCTTGCTTTTGGAGGGAATGAGGACAAGTATGTCTAGGCGAAGTCTGTTCACTGTTAGTAAAAATCTCGATCGATTACCTTGCAGACTTCTTACAAAGAAAAATAGTAGAACCAAACGGTGATTTTGTTTTCCTTTCCATATTTGAGAGTTGAAGCAATCAAATTTTGAGTGGCTAACTTTATTGTCACCTTTGAAAATAATTGGCACTTTCCTCACAAAACTGAACCATTGACAAAGATGACCTTTGGACAAATCTCCTGGAAACGTAGACATAAAAATGGATAACTTAAGAAAAGAAAAATGTATTGTGATATGGTCTGTCTGTAAGAATTATTTACTCAAGTCGTATGGACGTATGACTATGTGTAAGCTGTAGCAAGTTATGCACGTTCCTTGATCCTGAACCTGTACCTGTCCAGGCCGATTCCTGTCTCTGTCGTATTGGTCAATAAAGATCCCTTTGCTTTTCCACATCCTACCCTCCCTTACATACTGAGCTAATCAAGAAACTAGCTTCTTTTTTTGTTAGCAGAAATACTAGTAAATAAATAGTAATAGAACTAGACTTAAATAGAACTCGAAATGATCAACACGTGTTTCTTAGCTTAATATATGGAACTTTGGATTATTTTAACAATTTCAGTATTTTTGGATGAAGATGACTTTGAAATTGGTTCAGTTAAAAAAAAAAAAAAAAAAAAAATAAAAAAAAAAAAAAAAAAAGTCATTTATTCCAAGATACATAAAACTTGAAAAAGAGACCATGAAGTTTTTTGGAGTTTTTCCTCAGTGAAACTGGCAGTATAAATAAGAGGCCTTTCAAACAGGATTTTTGCTGAAGTGCCATAATGATTCTTGGGAAATTGCTCATTTAGATGAAAGAGTAGAGCTGTTTTAATTGCAATTTATGCACATCTTGGAAGGCCAATCTCTTCTGTTATGCTGGAGAGCTTGGCAGTTCTGAAAAACTGGTTTAACCTCCCAGATTGCTTGCAAAACACTTCACATGCATATAGAAGTACTTCAGCTGGTTTGTCCACGTGTCAAGAAAAGTAGATAAGGCTTTTCCGCAGGTTGAGAACCTGTTCAACCTAAACCAAGTGTCTGCTGACACGGATGTAAGAAAGCCGAAAATGCTCCTCCCTCTCCCAGCTCATGACTTTGATTGATGAGAATATCAGTCAAGCCTTCTGCCTTGCTTGCCGGAGATTCCTATTTTGCATCTTTAATCTAGAGCAAACTGTTTACCTTTGACTGTTTTGTTTTATTCTCACCCCCTCTCCTCTGTCCTGTCTCGGTGGTGTTATGGGCTAGGTTGGGGCATTACTCTGTCTCCTTTGTCTTGTTGGCTGACAGCATTGTCACAGTTTCCTGAGTCCTCCTTCCTCAGGATTTTAAACAGCTGGGAGAGCTTTTCCTTCCTGCCGTTTCAGCAGATGGTCGTGATGGTTCTTTGAGGCAGCCAGGGTAGTGGCAGCTGCAGAGAAACTGAGTGAAAGACTGTAGCCTGGCTCCTGATACCTCAGAGTCAATTTTTCTAACCCTTAGCAGTGTTTGCCAACCACTGTCACTACTGAACTAGTTCCCTACCAAAAATCTCCCAGACGTCTCTCCTAGGACTACGATAGGCACTGCAGTATAGTTGTCCAAGCAGCATTGCAGCCAAAGCAGGTTAGAAAAACGTGACTGGGAGGTAAACCTGTATTGTTTCAGAGTATCCAATGCAGGTAGGCAGCATGTTTTCTGTTCAAACCTTATGACTGGTTCAGAGATGAATATTCAGATTCTTTGTGTTGTATGTTGTGTCAGGAGTGCTTTTAAGTCAGCTATGTTTCTTAAGTCATGACTTAAGACCCTGGTGTGCTTTCAAACGTGTGTGGCAGTTGTGCTGTAATATACCCGTATCAGAAATCAGTGTGACGGCTACAGGCTTGTCAGTATGTAACCTGAGAAATTTTCTTTCGACGTAGAACTAAGATCTGATACTGTAAAGGTTGCTCAGCCTTGGTATTTAAACAGCAGAATTCCTCAAAGAGGTCAGTGCTTGCTGGTCCTAAGTAGCAGATTGCTGTGGCGATGTCAATTAACTCTCCCTTGCCCATGATGGTAAGCAACTCTTCTTTTGCCATATGCTGCCTCCAACAAGTTGCACCTTGCCTGCTTTCTTTCTCTTCCTACCCTGAAGGCCAAATGTGGTTTCTGTAGATAGAGGAATTGAGATACTTATTTTGCCAGTATTATTTTGTTGTTTATTTTTGTGGATGTGTTAAAGTTTTCTATTACATGGGAATTTTGTAGATACTATTCAAGACCACTGTTCTGGGTTCCTTCATTTTGAAAGCACATTTGACCGTTTGTGTGGTATCAGTCCTTTGACCTTTTTCTTTTTTGGCTGAAAACTTCCCTCAGTACAGTATATCTCTGTCTTCTACGCGAAGGCCTTTCCTCAGCTGGAAGGCCTTGCCTATGTTAATGCAGAGGCCATATGAGCGGCAGCTGAATTAGAGATTTTTTTAGAGGTTGTTTGTAAATGTTTTGTAGGCCCCCTTTCCAGAGAGGGTAAAAGATGTTGGCATATACTAGAAAAGCTATGTTTTTCCACTCCTCTCCAATTATCTCCTTTTTATACTAGGTTGTTTTTGATCCTTGTGCATGTATACTTTTAAGTGTTATTCTGGTTTTGTGCAGATGCAAGGATTGCAGGAGACTAGCTAAGCCTGTTTAGTCTCTCTTCTTGATCCCTAACCACAGAGTTGTAGAGTACCATTTTCCTCTGATGGTATCATCACATCTGCATCTCTTACTTGTTAAAGTAAACATAATTTTTCAGAAATGGTTGATTGTGCTGCTGATCACAGCAAGTCAAGAAAATAGTTCTGTTTTGATATATTACTCTTCCGACAGGGAGAAAAAAGGAAAGCTTGCTGGTGTTAGTGGAACGTAGGTTAATGAGTCTGGCAGGTTGCAGTCCCTGAACCTGCTCAGACAGACCAGTAAATGGATTGAGCAACCTTTTGTATTTTTGATGACCTCTCTCTAATATGGCAAGGAACTTGTTGTCTGAAAGACTGGCATCCTGAGCAGAAAAATGTATTTCAGATGTGCAAGATTATATAATGATCCAGTTTTTGGATAACATTCTTTCTGTGTTTAACAACGAACGACAAGTTATTGGTGATCAAATAAACAGCAAAAAAATTTGGTAAGATGTATGCTGTTGCAGGATGTATTTTTATTTCACCTCACTCGCCCACCCTGTTGGAAGAAGCTGTGGTATCTAGCACCATTATTAGGTTATAGGCATGTTGGCCTGTTGCTGGGAGGTCAAGCAGGGGTGGGAGAACTTCTCTTGAAGATTGTGTCATAGAAGTAGTGATACTAAGTTGATACTATACGAAGAGGATAACTGAAGGTGATAATGCACGTTTTATATGTACTTTATACAGGAAGAAAAAAACAACAGGAATAAAGACCGAACACGTTGATAACTGTAGTTGTAATTCTTCATGTGTGCATTTGACTCGTACTTAGCCAGATTTTGGTTCTTCAGGGTCTTGTCCAGATTCTGCCTTTTTTTCAATTTCCTTCTTTCTGAAGAGCTGCCTTATAGTGGTGGTATAAGTACTTTAAAGAAAAAACCCTGTGGGTGTGATTCAGTGTGTGCCCAATTTCAGCTCCCAGTCCTGCCCCCTCACTTTTATTGCAGGGGTTGTGAGATGCTGCTCAGAGAAGAAACAGATTTCCTCCGGAGAACTGTGGAACAGTATAGAGGAAAAGACTTTTCTGTTA